ACAAACCGTATACCCACAGTCACTCCAGACCAGCCCAACATAACCCCATAACTGTTATGCCATCTATTTCTGACAAAACTAACCAGGGTAAATTGTATAAACCCATGGCCCCAAGGGTGATCAAGGAAGAAACTCTGGTGGTAATGTCCATACTACCGAAAGATCCTGTGGCCATTGTAAACGCACTAACCATACCATAAGCCGCTGTTGGCAATTGTATCCAGAAAAAAGATCCAATGTTCCTATTTTAACTAAAGGGTTGCAGACTTCTGAGATGTTCAAGAGTGAGATCCCCACCTTCAATGGTTAAGCCTCATTACTCCATTTTTGTTTAAGAGGAAGATTTTATGTAAGAATTGTTCTTCTTGATTTTAGAGAGTGCTGTGCAAGATGCCTGCACTCTTGATAATGGAGAGGTAGTACTGGTCGAGGGTGACACAAGTGATATACAACCAGTACCCCTCCGTAAGGTAACCTTGGAATCTGATTTCAACAAGGGTATTTGTAAAGTTGGAGTCAGCTCTCACTTACCCTTCCCTAATGTTGATGTTTTACTGAGAAATGATTTAACAGGGGACAGGGTATGGGGCTCCAGGTTGCCGATTATGTTGCCTGCACTCGTCCTGAAGATATCCCCCCGTAGAGGAAAATATGGTGTATCCTGAGTTTTCGGTGACCAGATCGATGGGTGTTAAATGTATGGGCAGCCCTGTAGTTACCCAGGTGGTTAATCCTGAGACCACTTGGAACTTTTTGAGTGGTGAAATCCAAGTGAACCTTGTGGATAGTTTCATGTCCAGAGTCGATGACGAGTCAGATGACACACTGAAGGGCCTACCATCATCTTTGGAAAGTAGTAAGGATGAGGAGAACACTGCAGTGACTCACCCAATTGCATCCGAATAAGAAATGGAAGCCACTTTGAGTAAATGGCAAAAGTCTGACTCTAGTCTTGTAGAATGTCATGATATAGCTCTCTCTCACGAGGAAATAGTAGACGCAGCAACCGGCTACTATTACAAGGATCAGATTTTAATGAGAAAATGGAGACAGAGAGTTTTCCCTTGTCAAATGATTAGGATATAGTACATCAGGCAGTGCTGCCTACTGTCTACCGAGAGAAGGTGCTGACAGCTGCTCATAATGATCCCATGGGGGGGGGACATCAAGCGGTAAATATTACCTATAATAAAATAATAGATTGTGTTGGTCCATTACCTAGAAGTAAGGTTGGTAATATTTACCTGATAACTATGTGTATCCCGACTCATTTCCCAGAGATCGAGCAAACATTCAAGAAAAAATTGTAGTTGCTCGCATGTTGTAATTCTTTTCCACTTTTGGATTGCCTCGGGTTGTGCAAACTGGCAATGGCAGTAACTTTAAGTCTGATACTTTTGAGCAATTTTGTAAATAAAATGAAATAACTCACAAGGTTTCTGGCTTATATCATCCTCTAAGTCAAGGGGTCATTGAGTAGTGCCATCAAACTTTGAAGCAGATACTTATGACATCCTGTAAACGTTCTAACCAGACTTGGGATGAGAACTGGCCATAAGTTTTGTTTGCAGCTCGAGAGAGGCTACAAAGTTCCCTGGGTTGTTCACCTTTTGAGTTAGTCTTTGGTCATAAGGTAGATGGACCATTACAAATGTTACTGGAGAAACTGTTACGGAATGTAACATTATCCGAAGATTCAGATTATTTTGCTCTACACCACCAGAGACTCCATGATAGTAAGGCTGCTGCTTTAAAACATCTAGAGAAGGTCCATGCTAGCATGGAGCTAGTCATGTTAGCATGGAGCTAGTCATGCTAGCATGACACGTGTCATGCTAGTATGACACGATGCTAAAGCTAAATTGAAGGTTTTTAAGCCAGGTGACTATATCCTCGTATTAAAGCCTCGATTGGGAAGCACTATGTCCCACAAGTACGAAGGCCCATGTATAGTGACAGGAAAGGTTAGAGACCTCACGTACAAAGTCAGGCACTTGGACAAATGTAACCAGATGATGCTTGTGCACTTGAACCGTCTGAAGAGATTCCAGGACCCCATGCCATGCGCTCTTAACCAATATTTCCTTTTCCAGTGAGGGAGGGGATAATTGTTCTGGGGACACAGCTAATCCTACTTTGAATCAATCTAGTTCAGTGAGTGCTGTGGAGGAGAGGCTGTCCCATTTGCAAATGTTTCAGCTTGAGGATGTGCAGCTGCTACTTGACAAGTTCTACAATCCGTACGAAGAGGTCCCGACACAGATCGATATCATCTGCCATGATGTCAAGTTGGCTGACTACACCCCTATTCGTCTGCAACCTTACCGGATGAGTCCGGAGAAGAAGGCCATCGTACGACTGGAGATCGACTTCTTGCTCCTGCATGACCTTATCCCGCCGAGTCAGGGCCCTTGGTCCTCTCCCTGTCTTTTGGTCCCTAAACCAGATGGCTTCTGGAGGCTATACACCGACTTCTATTACCAGGTATTGCCGTTTGGATTGCGGAATGCCCCAGCAACGTTCCAGAGATTAATGAATTCTCTATTAGCGAATGTTCCCAATTGTAGTGCATACTTGGATGATATTATGTTTTATATAATAACAGTTGGTCGGATCATATTGCCGGTTTACGTCAGTTATTCACAGTCTTAAAATCTGCAAACTTATTATTGAACTTGAATAAGTGTAATTTTGGCCAGGACACTGTGACATGCCTAAGGTACGAAGTAGGCCAGGGAAAAGTGTTGCATCATCAAGATAAAATCAGTGCAATTCAAGAATACCCAGTGCTTAAGTCCAAACAAAATTTGCAACGATTTATCGGTATGTGTGCTTACTACCACAGATTTTGTAAGAATTTCGCAAGTGTGACTACACCACTAACTAACTTCTTGCAGAATACCATCAAATTCAAATGGTCAACAGAGTGTGCAGAGGTGTTTAAAAACTTGAAAGCGATCTTAGCTTCCGTTCCAGTGCTTGCTAGCCCTTGGTTCAACAAACAATTCAAAATCCACATCGATGCATCTTATTTGGATGCCGGTGCAGTGTTGTTGCAAACTGGGGATGATCAGGAGTACCATCCAGTGTACTATTACACAGCTAAATTTGACAAGACACAGTACAATTATTCGGTAGTAGAAAAAGAAGCATTGACATTAGTATTGGCCTGTCAAAAGTGTGAGGTGTATCTTACGGCAAATATAGTGGAAGTGAATGTGGACCATACCCGCTAGTGTTTATCCTTCAGATGAAAGAGAAGAATAAACGTATTCTCAGGGGGGCATTGCATCTGCAAGATTTTAATATTATCGTAAAGCATTTACCGGGATGGCTAAATGTAATAGCTGATGCACTTTCCTGGTAACATGAGTAGCATACATCTGAGCCGCAGGAAACCACGAACCCACTGTCAAAGGTTTAGTATAATTCATAGGTTCTCCTGCGACATTAATTATTTCTTGTCATATGTCTTTTTTTTCTTTCAGAGTATTATTTTATTGGCTGTGTCATTATATGCTCTTACAAAAAATATGACTACTATTCTAGTAGCTATATTCTTTCCCCTGGTTGAGAAGGAGTGTTGCGACTCTGGGTCCAACTCCGGCAAATGGATTCAGGGTTGCATTGCATTTGTTTACATATGTAATAGAGACCCCTTCACTTTCTCAGGTATTTTATTGATAGACCCTGAATGTGTTAGATTATGTGTGGGATTAGTGTTTGTTAAATTATAGAGTTTTTAGATAGGTTTGAGTTAAAGAAGGAGTGAAATGTCTGGCTGTTCATATACAAGAGAACTGTTCCTCATTTTGCAAATGGCAAGCGAGCATTACTTTGCCAGACGTAAGAGCACTTTGATGCTCACAGAATTGTAAGAACACTGTGATAGTAATCTGTTAGTGTATTGTAATGCAAGGATGTTCTATTTATACTTAGAACTGGCTAGTGGCAATTTAATATTGTATTAGAGATTCAAGTGGTTACTGTATGATCAACTGATCAAGCAAGCAGCAAGCCAAATGTCACAGGTTGCTCTCTTGTGCTGTTATTACTGACGTAGATGTTCACCCCTTTTTTTATCTCCTTCTCTCTTTATTCTTTAATAAACCAGATAAGTAATATTGTTCTGTGCCACTAGATGTTCTGTGTATTTTTGTCTGTGCTCCCTAGTCAGATACTTTGAGCTCCAAGTGTTTAGATCTTTATAATGACTAGCGAATATTTTCTGCTATAGTGTTATTAAACTTAGTGGACTGTGTGGTCCCTTAAGGATAAGTAGACTTTACCACTAATTTGCTGTCTGTACATCTCGTTTCCTGTCTATATGAAGTCAGAGAGGTAACGTAAGATAGAGGTGGTAAAGTACTTCTGTTATATTTGGGGTGGCTTTGGGGGTTACAAAATTACATTAAGGTAAATTTCAACTGAAGTTTCCATCACTCCTCTTGCATTGGGTAAGGTGATCTGCTCTAGACAACAGACCATTATTGTTCCTGTGATTACTGGGAACAGTTTTCCCCAGGGGCCAGACCATTCCTAACCCCAGTAGGTGGAACTTCCTTACTTTGATTAATACCCAACAGAGCCCACACCATAACAAAGAGCTCATTGTATATGTATCAGTCGTCATCGGTTATGATGCAAGATAATACCAAAGAACTGGTGAATGTCTCATAACCTAAAACTTAAATACTTAATCTAACATAGCATGTTATAAAAATTATTGTTTTAATTTACCTATTGTTTTGGCCCAATACACAATGTCGTGCGTTGAAAGGTAGCTGATTTATAACGAACCAGTATTCAACGCTTGATTTACAACCTTTAAGACGACATAACCGCATGTCGACACAGGATGTCAAGCTCACTTGGCTGATATGTGTCCAGTCCAAATTCGTTGTTCAGCTAACTTAACACTTGTTTTAGTATAAAGGTTTAGTCTATTAAATGAATAAACTCATATCAATTTAATTATTCTATATTACCCATTTAAAAATTTTAAATTTATGATGTGACTAACAAGTCAATTCCTGTCTAGTTGAATTTATAAATATAACCCCCCACCCAAACTAGTGAGAGTTTATTAGTGGAAGAATTATCTTCATATAGTCAAATTGCAAAATAAATAATTTAAAATTAAAATTCAACATAAATAATTAATCAATAAAATTTTTAAAATATTAAAATTACATCCTTCTGATAAATTTCTCACATGTTTCTTAGGTTTGGTAAAGTAAAATCAAATATTTGTACTCTAATGTGTGATTTTAAAACTAGATACAATTATTTTTTTTTAATACACAGAGCTGAGTGATAAAATATGGAGCTTGTTACTGAGGAATCTACTTCAAACAATACATACCTTCTCCGGCTGATGAAAAAGGAAATTCGCACAGGGCGAAATGAATGTGGTCACAAGCCAGGTCATTCATGTAGTGATGGTCATTTGAATAAAGCTCAATGCAGGGGCCGTCACCACTGGGTTGGTGAAGGGTGTATGTTGCGCCCCAGAAAGGAGTGCCCATGGGCACCAACTCCCCTGATGCATACGTGAATCTGCCTGTGTTGTTGTCCAACATGCCATCCATCCAGTAGGAGTTGGAGATATCTCCTGTGTAAGATCATCTTGTTATTCTTAGGAAATATTTAACGAATGCTAAACTCTTCACTAATTTATCATATCCTTTAGGATGAAGAAGGAAGCTGAAACACGAAGAGAGAATATATGCTAGAATTTACACACACACACACACACACACACACACACACACACACACACACACACACACACACACACACACACACACACACACACACACACACACACACACACACACAAAATTATGAGAAGAATCAAGACGGATAAGATAGGCAGAGACTACAGGATGACCTGGATAAACTGGAGGAATGGTCTAGAAAATGGCTGCTGAAGTTCAACTCTGGAAAGTGTAAGGTGATGAAATTAGGCGAAGGGAGCAGGAGGCTGAACACAAGGTATCATCTGGGAGGGGAAATCCTGCAAGAATCAAATAGAGAGAAGGATCTGGGGGTTGATATCACACCGAACCTGTCCCCAGAGGCCCACATCAAAAGAATATCATCAGCGGCATATGCTAGACTGGCCAACATAAGAACTGCCTTCAGAAACTTGTGTAAGGAATCTTTCAGAACCCTGTATACCACTTATGTAAGACCAATCCTGGAGTATGCAGCTCCAGCCTGGAGTCCATACCTAGTTAAACACAAGACAAAGTTAGAGAAGATTCAGCGGTATGCCACCAGGCTCGTCCCGGAACTGAGAGGATTGAGCTACGAGGAAAGGCTAAAGGAGCTGAACCTCACATCCCTGGAAAACAGAAGAGTAAGGGGAGACATGATAACCACCTACAAAATTCTCAGGGGAATTGACAGGGTGGACAAAGACAAACTCTTCAGCACGGGTGGGACACGAACAAGGGGACACAGGTGGAAACTTAGTACCCAGATGAGCCACAGAGACGTTAGAAAGAATTTTTTCAGTGTCAGAGTAGTTAATAAATGGAATGCACTAGGAAGTGATGTGGTGGAGGCTGACTCCATACACAGTTTCAAATGTAGGTATGATAGAGCCCAGTAGGCTCAGGAATCTGTACACCAGTTGATTGACAGTTGAGAGGCGGGACCAAAGAGCCAAAGCTCAACCCCCGCAAGCACAATTAGGTGAGTACAATTAGGTGAGTACACACACACACACACACACACACACACACACACACACACACACACACACACACACACACACACACACACACACACAAGGAGGAGATGGCTATCCCGGGCTGTGAGGGTTTCAGAGACTACATAGCAGGCACCATGACAATGGGAGGACCAAGGATAGTAGTAGCAGTAATATATAATCCTCCACCAAATGACAGAAGACCCAGTCAAGAGTACGAAAGCAACAACATGGCAGTTAACACTATAATTGAGAGTGCAGCCTCTTCTGCCTGTAGAAATAGATCCCACCTGCTCATCATGGGGGACTTCAATCACGGCAGGATTGATTGGGAGAACAAGGAACCGCATAGAGGCGAGGATACGTGGAGAGCCAAACTACTGGAGGTGGCGACTAGAAACTTCTTAACCCAGCATGTCAGTGAACCCACAAGGATGAGAGGAAATGACGAACCAGCGAGACTCGACCTGGTTTTCACCCTGAACGACTCTGACATAAGAGAAATCAGTTTTGAGGACTCAGTAGGAATGAGCGACCACAGTGTATTGGTGTTTGAGTACCTGATTGAAGAAGGGTTATTGAACTCGAGGAGGGATACCGAAACCAAAAGGTTAGCATACCGAAAGGGAAACTATGAGGAGATAAGAAAATGCCTAGCAGATATAGCATGGGAAACAGAGCTCAGGGAAAAGACGGCCCAAGATATGATGGAATACATCACGCGAAAATGCAAGGACGCAGCAAACAAGTTTGTCCCAGTCCAAAAGGAAAACAGTGTATTGAAGATGAGAAACCCATGGTTTAATCAGAGATGTAGGCTAGCTAAGCAGCAAAGTAAAAGGGCATGGAGAAACTATAGGAATAACAGGACACTGGAGAGCAGAGAAAGATACCAGAATGCCAGGAATGAATATGTTAGGATGAGAAGAGAGGCAGAAAGACAATACGAAAATGACATCGCAAGCAAGGCAAAGACTCAGCCTAAATTGCTGCATAGCCACATCAGGAGAAAAACAACAGTAAAGGAACAGGTTATGAAATTAAGGACAGAGGCAGAAGGATTCACTACAAACGACAAGGAAGTGTGTGAGGAACTGAATAAGAAATTCCAAGAGGTCTTCACCTTAGAGCAAGGAGAAATCCCAGAGATAAGAGAGGGAATAGCTAACCAGGAACCACTGGAAGAGTTTGAGATTACCAGCGGGGAAGTAAGGAAGTGTTTACTAGAATTGGATGTGACAAAGGCTATAGGCCCAGATGGAATCTCCCCTTGGATACTAAAGGAAGGAGCAGAAGAACTGTGCCCCGCTCTCCATGGTGTATAACAAATCACTGGCAAAAGGGGAACTGCCAGAAATTTGGAAAGCAGCTAACGTAGTCCCGATATACAAGAAAGGGGATAGACAGGAGGCATTGAATTACAGACCAGTGTCCCTAACCTGCATACCATGCAAGATGATGGAGAAAATTGTGCGAAGAAAGCTAGTGGAGCACCTGGAGCGAAAGAACTTTGTAGCACAGCATCAACATGGATTCAGGGATGGCAGGTCCTGCCTCACAGGGTTACTTGAATTCTACGACCAGGCAACAAAAATAAGGCAAGAAAGAGAAGGGTGGGCAGACTGCATATTTTTGGATTGTCAGAAAGCCTTTGACACAGTGCCACACAAGAGGCTAGTGAAAAAACTGGAGATGCAGGCTGGAGTGAAAGGGAAGGTACTCCGTTGGATACAGGAGTACCTAAGTAACAGGAGACAACGAGTCAGTGTGAGGGGTGAGGTCTCAGATTGGCGAGACGTTACGAGTGGAGTACCGCAGGGGTCAGTCCTTAGACCTATACTGTTTCTGATATATGTAAATGATCTTCCAGAGGGTATAGAATCGTTTCTCTCAATGTTTGCCGATGATGCAAAAATTATGAGGAGGATTGAAACTGAGGACGATAATAGGAGGCTACAAGATGACCTAGACAGACTGAGTGAATGGTCCAACAAATGGCTGTTGAAGTTCAACCCGAGTAAATGCAAAGTAATGAAACTAGGCAGTGGAAATAGGAGGCCAAACACAGGATACAGAATAGGAGATGAAGTACTTAATGAAACGAACAGAGAGAAAGATCTAGGAGTTGATATCACACCAAACCTGTCTCCTGAAGCCCACATAAAAAGAATAACGTCTGCGGCATATGCGAGGCTGGCTAACATCAGAACAGCGTTCAGGAACCTGTGTAAGGAATCATTCAGAATCTTGTACACCACATATGTAAGACCAATCCTGGAGTATGCAGCCCCAGCATGGAGCCCGTACCTTGTCAAGCACAAGACGAAGCTGGAAAAAGTCCAAAGGTATGCCACTAGACTAGTCCCAGAACTAAGAGGCATGAGTTACGAGGAAAGGCTGCGGGAAATGCACCTTACGACACTGGAAGACAGAAGAGTAAGGGGAGACATGATCACAACCTACAAAATCCTCAGAGGAATCGACCGGGTAAACAAGGATAAACTATTCAACACTGGTGGGACGCGAACAAGGGGACACAGGTATAAAACTGAGTACCCACATGAGCCACAGAGACGTTAGAAGGAACTTTTTCAGTGTCAGAGTAGTTAACGGATGGAATGCATTAGGCAGTGATGTGGTGGAGGCTGACTCCATACACAGTTTCAAATGTAGATATGATAGAGCCCAGTAGGCTCAGGAATCTGTACACCAGTTGATTGACAGTTGAGAGGCGGGACCAAAGAGCCAAAGCTCAACCCCCGCAAGCACAAATAGGTGAGTACACACACACACACACACACACACACACACACACACACACACACACACACACACACACACACACACACACACACACACACACACACACACACACATATATATATATATATATATATATATATATATATATATATATATATATATATATATATATATATATATATATATATATATATATATATATATATATATATATTAGTATATTTTGGTAGCAGTCTTTCCTGTAGACATATATTATTAAATATGACCGAAAAAGTAAGATTAATAATTCTAACACGAATTTTCTCAATCTTTCGTACATTACGCTTCACTGTTGGAGGTAAATCAAAAATCACTTCTCCAAAATTCATTTTTATTTCTAGTCTGACGCGACACGGGCGCGTTTCGTAAAACTTATTACATTTTCAAAGACTTCACAAAAACACAACTGATTAGAACTTACGTCTCTCTGATATTATATCTACATTTGAGTGAGGTGGGAAGGGTGATGTGGCATTAACACAAGACAGAACAGGTGGGGATATTAATAGGGTATTAAAAGTATCAACACAAGACAGAACAGAAACAATGGGTATTGAATAGAAGTGTTTGTAGAAAGCCTATTGGTCCATATTTCTTGATGCTTCTATATTGGAGCGGAGTCTTGAGGTGGGTAGAATATAGTTGTGCAATAATTGGCTGTTGATTGCTGGTGTTGACTTCTTGATGTGTAGTGCCTCGCAAACGTCAAGCCGCCTGCTATCGCTGTATCTATCGATGATTCTGTGTTGTTTACTAGGATTTCTCTGGCGATGGTTTGGTTATGGGAAGAGATTATATGTTCCTTAATGGAGCCCTGTTGCTTATGCATCGTTAAACGCCTAGAAAGAGATGTTGTTGTCTTGCCTATATACTGGGTTTTTTGGAGCTTACAGTCCCCAAGTGGGCATTTGAAGGCATAGACGACGTTAGTCTCTTTTAAAGCGTTCTGTTTTGTGTCTGGAGAGTTTCTCATGAGTAGGCTGGCCGTTTTTCTGGTTTTATAGTAAATCGTCAGTTGTATCCTCTGATTTTTGTATGTAGGGATAACGTTTCTATTAACAATATCTTTCAGGACCCTTTCCTCCGTTTTATGAGCTGTGGAAAAGAAGTTCCTGTAAAATAGTCTAATAGGGGGTATAGGTGTTGTGTTAGTTGTCTCTTCAGAGGTTGCATGGCTTTTCACTTTCCTTCTTATGATGTCTTCGATGAAACCATTGGAGAAGCCGTTATTGACTAGGACCTGCCTTACCCTACAGAGTTCTTCGTCGACTTGCTTCCATTCTGAGCTGTGGCTGAGAGCACGGTCGACGTATGCGTTAACAACACTCCTCTTGTACCTGTCGGGGCAGTCGCTGTTGGCATTTAGGCACATTCCTATGTTTGTTTCCTTAGTGTAGACTGCAGTGTGGAAACCTCCGCCCTTTTCCATGACTGTTACATCTAGAAAAGGCAACTTCCCACCCTTTTCCGTCTCGTAAGTGAAACGCAGCACGGAACTCTGCTCAAATGCCTCCTTCAGCTCCTGCAGATGTCTGACATCAGGTACCTGTGTAAAAATGTCGTCAACATACCTGCAGTATATGGCCGGTTTCAAGTTCATGTCGACTAAGACTTTTTGCTCGATGGTACCCATGTAGAAGTTTGCAAACAGGACACCTAGGGGAGAACCCATGGCGACCCCATCTACTTGCTTATACATGTGCCCATCCGGGCTCAAGAAGGGTGCCTCTTTAGTACAAGCTTGGAGTAGTTTCCTCAGAATACTTTCTGGCATGTCAAGAGGAGTACAGGCTGGATCACGATACACTCTGTCGGCTATCATTCCGATTGTCTCGTCCACAGGTACGTTGGTAAACAGCGATTCTACGTCCAACGAGGCTCTTATCCCTGTGGCCCGTGTGCCCCGCAGTAAGTCCACAAATTCCTTTGGAGACTTCAGGCTGAAGGCGCAAGGAACATAAGGAGTCAGCAGGCCGTTGAGTCGCTTCGCCAGTCTGTACGTGGGTGTGGGTATCTGGCTAATGATTGGCCGAAGTGGGTTTCCAGGCTTGTGCGTCTTGACATTTCCATACGCATATCCAGGTTTATATTCCCCAATGATCTTTGGCAGGTGGAGTCCGGATTTCTTGGCGTTCACAGTTTCGATCAGTTTGTTGACCTTTGCTTTTAATTCGGCTGTAGTGTCCTTCGTTACCCTTTGGAACTTAGTTTGGTCAGAGAGTATGATGTTCATTTTCGCCAGATATTCGTCTTTTTAAAGAATGACATATATTGGCGACTTGTCACCTCTCCTGACAACTATCTCCTTGTTCTCACGAAGGCTTTTAGCTGCCGCTTTAAGCTCGGGGGACAGTATGGTGCTTCTGTAGTTGCCTCGATTCTTTCCTCCTTCTGCAATAAGTTCTGCTTGTAAGGTATCTTTGGTAGTGACCTTCTTTTGTGTCTCGAGGTCGAATATGTCGTCCAACAGAATTTCCAACTCTACTTTCCGGGCCATTTCACTCGGTCTGGACATAACATGACAGTTTATGCCCAGATTTAGGAGAGTGACTTGGTCCTCAGTGAGGTTAATTCCTGCAAGGTTCAGGAAGCCATCTCTTGGTCGTGGAATTGCCATAGGCCCTCCATATAATGTTGTTAGTTTCTTGATGATCCTTGTTTCAGTGCTGAGGTGATGTTGGTCTGTGAGGATGTCGAGGTGTTGTTCAATGCGGGTACGGATACTATGGTCGATGTTGCTATTTCTCCACTCGTTTGTAGCATGAAGTAGTTGCGTTTTGTTGTCTTTGATTTCATTCTCTGCCTTGTATATCTGATCACGAATCAGATCCTGGCGATATTTTATCGTGAAGGCTTGATTCCTTGCTGCTGGGTCGTGCACTTTAATATTAGTATATTTTGGTAGCAGTCTTTCCTGTAGACATATATTATTAAATATGACCGAAAAAGTAAGATTAATAATTCTAACACGAATTTTCTCAATCTTTCGTACATTACGCTTCACTGTTGGAGGTAAATCAAAAATCACTTCTCCAAAATTCATTTTTATTTCTAGTCTGACGCGACACGGGCGCGTTTCGTAAAACTTATTACATTTTCAAAGATATGCTCCAATATAGAAGCATCAAGAAATATGGACCAATAGGCTTTCTACAAACACTTCTATTCAATACCCATTGTTTCTGTTCTGTCTTGTGTTGATACTTTTAATACCTTATTAATATCCCCACCTGTTCTGTCTTGTGTTAATGCCACATCACCCTTCCCACCTCACTCAAATGTAGATATAATATCAGAGAGACGTAAGTTCTAATCAGTTGTGTATTTGTGAAGTCTTTGAAAATGTAATAAGTTTTACGAAACGCGCCCGTGTCGCGTCAGACTAGAAATAAAAATGAATTTTGGAGAAGTGATTTTTGATTTACCTACAACAGTGAAGCGTAATGTACGAAAGATTGAGAAAATTCGTGTTAGAATTATTAATCTTACTTTTTCGGTCATATTTAATAATATATGTCTACAGGAAAGACTGCTACCAAAATATACTAATATTAAAGTGCACGACCCAGCAGCAAGGAATCAAGCCTTCACGATAAAATATCGCCAGGATCTGATTCGTGATCAGATATACAAGGCAGAGAATGAAATCAAAGACAACAAAACGCAACTACTTCATGCTACAAACGAGTGGAGAAATAGCAACATCGACCATAGTATCCGTACCCGCATTGAACAACACCTCGACATCCTCACAGACCAACATCACCTCAGCACTGAAACAAGGATCATCAAGAAACTAACAACATTATATGGAGGACCTATGGCAATTCCACGACCAAGAGATGGCTTCCTGAACCTTGCAGGAATTAACCTCACTGAGGACCAAGTCACTCTCCTAAATCTGGGCATAAACTGTCATGTTATGTCCAGACCGAGTGAAATGGCCCGGAAAGTAGAGTTGGAAATTCTGTTGGACGACATATTCGACCTCGAGACACAAAAGAAGGTCACTACCAAAGATACCTTACAAGCAGAACTTATTGCAGAAGGAGGAAAGAATCGAGGCAACTACAGAAGCACCATACTGTCCCCCGAGCTTAAAGCGGCAGCTAAAAGCCTTCGTGAGAACAAGGAGATAGTTGTCAGGAGAGGTGACAAGTCGCCAATATATGTCATTCTTAAAAAAGACGAATATCTGGCGAAAATGAACATCATACTCTCTGACCAAACTAAGTTCCAAAGGGTAACGAAGGACACTACAGCCGAATTAAAAGCAAAGGTCAACAAACTGATCGAAACTGTGAACGCCAAGAAATCCGGACTCCACCTGCCAAAGATCATTGGGGAATATAAACCTGGATATGCGTATGGAAATGTCAAGACGCACAAGCCTGGAAACCCACTTCGGCCAATCATTAGCCAGATACCCACACCCACGTACAGACTGGCGAAGCGACTCAACGGCCTGCTGACTCCTTATGTTCCTTGCGCCTTCAGCCTGAAGTCTCCAAAGGAATTTGTGGACTTACTGCGGGGCACACGGGCCACAGGGATAAGAGCCTCGTTGGACGTAGAATCGCTGTTTACCAACGTACCTGTGGACGAGACAATCGGAATGATAGCCGACAGAGTGTATCGTGATCCAGCCTGTACTCCTCTTGACATGCCAGAAAGTATTCTGAGGAAACTACTCCAAGCTTGTACTAAAGAGGCACCCTTCTTGAGCCCGGATGGGCACATGTATAAGCAAGTAGATGGGGTCGCCATGGGTTCTCCCCTAGGTGTCCTGTTTGCAAACTTCTACATGGGTACCATCGAGCAAAAAGTCTTAGTCGACATGAACTTGAAACCGGCCATATACTGCAGGTATGTTGACAACATTTTTACACAGGTACCTGATGTCAGACATCTGCAGGAGCTGAAGGAGGCATTTGAGAGGAGTTCCGTGCTGCGTTTCACTTACGAGACGGAAAAGGATGGGAAGCTGCCTTTTCTAGATGTAACAGTCATGGAAAAGGGCGGAGGTTTCCACACTGCAGTCTACACTAAGGAAACAAACATAGGAATGTACCTAAATGCCAACAGCGACTGCCCCGACAGGTACAAGAGGAGTGTTGTTAACGCATACGTCGACCGTGCTCTCAGCCACAGCTCAGAATGGAAGCAAGTCGACGAAGAACTCTGTAGGGTAAGGCAGGTCCTAGTCAATAACGGCTTCTCCAATGGTTTCATCGAAGACATCATAAGAAGGAAAGTGAAAAGCCATGCAACCTCTGAAGAGACAACTAACACAACACCTATACCCCCTATTAGACTATTTTACAGGAACTTCTTTTCCACAGCTCATAAAACGGAGGAAAGGGTCCTGAAAGATATTGTTAATAGAAACGTTATCCCTACATACAAAAATCAGAGGATACAACTGACGATTTACTATAAAACCAGAAAAACGGCCAGCCTACTCATGAGAAACTCTCCAGACACAAAACAGAACGCTTTAAAAGAGACTAACGTCGTTTATGCCTTCAAATGCCCACTTGGGGACTGTAAGCTCCAAAAAAACCAGTATATAGGCAAGACAACAACATCTCTTTCTAGGCGTTTAACGATGCATAAGCAACAGGGCTCCATTAAGGAACATATAATCTCTTCCCATAACCAAACCATCGCCAGAGAAATCCTAGTAAACAACACAGAAATCATCGATAGATACAGCGATAGCAGGCGGCTTGACGTTTGCGAGGCACTACACATCAAGAAGTCAACACCAGCAATCAACAGCCAATTATTGCACAACTATATTCTACCCACCTCAAGACTCCGCTCCAATATAGAAGCATCAAGAAATATGGACCAATAGGCTTTCTACAAACACTTCTATTCAATACCCATTGTTTCTGTTCTGTCTTGTGTTGATACTTTTAATACCCTATTAATATCCCCACCTGTTCTGTCTTGTGTTAATGCCACATCACCCTTCCCACCTCACTCAAATGTAGATATAATATCAGAGAGACGTAAGTTCTAATCAGTTGTGTATTTGTGAAGTCTTTGAAAATGTAATAAGTTTTACGAAACGCGCCCGTGTCGCGTCAGACTAGAAATAAAAATGAATTTTGGAGAAGTGATTTTTGATTTACCTCCAACAGTGAAGCGTAATGTACGAAAGATTGAGAAAATTCGTGTTAGAATTATTAATCTTACTTTTTCGGTCATATTTAATAATATATGTCTACAGGAAAGACTGCTACCAAAATACTAATATATATATATATATATATATATATATATATATATATATATATATTATATATATCTTTCCTGTATATATATAAATATGACCGAAAAAGTAAGATTAATAATTCTAACACGAATTTTCTCTATCTTTCTTACGTACTGTTGATGGTATTCAAAGATCAATTCTCCATTCATTTTATTTCTAGTCTGTCGCAACACTTGAGCGCGTTTCGTAAAACTTATTACATTTTCAAAGACTTTAGTTTACAAACACACAACTTTGCACATCTCCGAGTTTATATCTACATTTGGGTGAGGAGGATGAGGTGAAAACGAACTTTCAACAAGGGGTATTAAATGGGTATTAAATTCTAACACAAGACAGAACACGAAACAATGGGTATTGAATGGAAGTAATTGTAGAAAGCCTATTGGTCCATATTTCTTGATGTTTCTATATTGGAGCGGAGTCTTGAAGTGGGTAGAATATAGTTGTGCATTAATTGGCTGTTGATTGCTGGTGTTGACTTCTTGATGTGTAGTGCCTCGCAGACGTCAAGCCGCCTGCTATCGAAATGTCAAGACACACAAGCTTGGAAACCCACTGCTGCCAATCATCAGCCAGATACCCACACCCACGTACAGACTGGCAAAACGACTGAATGGCTTGCTGACTCCTTATGTCCCTTGCGCCTTCAGCCTGAAGTCTCCAAAGAAATTTGTTGACTTGCTGCGGGGAACAGGGGCCACAGGGATAAGAGCCTCGTTGGACGTAGAATCACTGTTTACCAACGTACCAGTGGATGAAACAATCGGGATGATAGCCGACAGAGTGTACCGTGATCCGGCCTGTACTCCTCTTGACATACCAGAAAACAGTCTAAGGAAACTACTCCAAGCTTGTACTAAAGAGGCACCCTTCTTGAGCCCGGATGGACACATGTATAAGCAAGTAGATGGGGTCGCCATGGGTTCTCCCCTAGGTGTCCTGTTTGCAAATTTCTACATGGGTACCATCGAGCAAAAAGTCTTAGTCGACATAAACTTGAAACCGGCCATATACTGCAGGTATGTTGACAATATTTTTACACAAGTACCTGATGTCAGACATCTGCAAGAGCTGAAGGAGGCATTTGAGCAGAATTCTGTGTTGCGTTTCACTTACGAGATGGAGAAGGATGGGAAGCTGGCCTTTCTTGATGTAACAGTCATGGAAAGGAGCGGAGTTTTCCACACTGCAGTCTACACTAAGGAAACGAACATAGGAATGTGCCTGAATGCCAACAGTGACTGCCCGGACAGGTACAAGAGGAGTGTTTTTAATGCTTATGTCGACAGTGCTCTCAGCCACAGCTCAGAATGGAAGCAAGTCGACGAAGAACTCTGTAGGGTAAGGCAGGTCCTAGTCAACAACGGCTTCTCAAATGGTTTCGTGGAAGACATCATAAGAAGGAAAGTGAAACGCCATGCAACCTCTGAAGAGACAACTAACACAACACCTATACCCCTATTAGACTATTTTACAGGAACTTCTTTTCCACAGCCCATAAAACGGAGGAAAGGGTCCTGAAAGATATTGTCAGTAGAAACGTTATCCTACAGACAAAAATCAGAAGATACAACTGGCAATTTACTATAAAACCAAAAAAAACGGCCAGCCTACTCATGAGAAACTCTCCAGACACAAAGCAGAACGTTTTAAAAGAGACCAACGTCGTCTATGCCTTCAATGCCCTCTTGGGGATTGTAAGCCTCAAAAAACTCAGTATATAGG